ACTTTAACTATTTGGTGTCCCCAAACCTACACCCTCCCCCCCCTCCCCTTCCGAACTATATTGCCCTTTATATTAAAAACCTCTCATTGCATTATTAGAGGTGCGTCTAGTACACGCTCCTAATTGTCTAAAAAACCTGTCATGTAGCACTACACGTGGCTATTTAATTTAACCTAAGACCCGCCTAGACTATTACTTTTTTTGTCAGTTACCTACTTAAACTATCTAGTGTCCCCAAAATATCCCGTGAACTATATTACCCTATGTATTAAACCCCATGTTGGACTTTTAAAGGTATGTCTGTCTAACTATATTAACTTATGGTTTGTACAAAGTTTTTTTATATAGTTTACTCATGATGTATTACTCTCAAATGATTAATTAATTCTAAGAGTTTTCGCCAAAATAATATCTAATGTACTGTGTTAATTTTAGGTTTAATTGTGATTGTGCTTTATGCTAGACTCCAATTGATAAGTCCTTATTTTTATTAACTTTGTAGCACAGTTAAAATATAAATAAAGGCATATAGTGTTGTATTTCTTAAAAGTCATCTTGTATTACATAAAAAAGATTAGACAAAATAAAATTTCGCATATAAAAAATCAATTACCCAGCAATTACATTATCTAATTCCAGATTACACAAAGAAGTTTCAAGAGATTCAACTTTATTCTTTACAAGGTATTGAGCTTAATAAGAAGATTTAAATTGGTATTCTTTCAACAATACGTGTAAGACATGAAAAAAGACAAGAAAAAGAGAAATTTTTCTAGAGGAAACCCATATGGAGAACTGAAGAAAAAAGGTTAAAAACTGAAGAAGAAGAAGGTGAAAAACAAAGAAGAAAGGTGAAAAAATAAGGAAGAATGATGAAAAATGAGGAAGACAGATGGATATAACTGAAATAAGGAGAATATTTATTAAAAAAAATAAATTTGTAAGAGGGTTAGGCTAATTAACCATTATTTTATGTTAGGTGGGCCAATTTGATGGCTTTTTTTAGCTACCACGCGCTCCCAGGCGAGTAGCTACACATGTTATGCCAGATGAGAGACGAGGGGTTTTAAATACAAATGGCAATATAATTCAGGGGATTTTGGAGACACCGAATAGCTTAAGTAGGAAAATAACAAAAATATGATAGTTTAAGGGGTTTTAGGGTATTAACTATAGCATATTCTTCATGGAAATTCTACTATTTAGAATCCAAAATGGCAGCCTCGATAACATCAAAATGGTCCCGTCGATGATCACTCTCCCACTCCCTTCTTTATATTTAGAACCCAACTCTTAAAATTTGCCTTACCACCAATGGTACTACCCCTTTTCGACCACCTTTTACCTAAAAAGCTTCTTCACAGCCGCATTCCATCATACCACTACCATCACCCATAAAAGTTCTCAATCAGAAACGACTCGCCAAAAAAATCATCACCAAAAACTCCACCCAAAATTATTTGAGATTCCTCTAGCGAAAAACTTACAATAAAAGGATTCTGCTAGCAATCTTCTTTCACTTTATCTATTTATTTTGCTTGCAAAAGGTCGTATTTAGAAGTGGGAGAAGAAATGAGGGAGGTGGGAAAGAAATTTCTCACTTAAAGTTGCTCAATCTGGGGGTGTTTTCAGATTTGGGCAACGAGGGTGTGTTGCAACCAAACACACACGCAAGTATACGTGGTCATCAAGTAATAAAGTGACTCAAAAGTTAGATGTCTAACTCACAGAGACTTAGATTGATCGTTAACTAAGCAAACTAAAATTAATTAATTGTCCAAGATAATCAAGAGTGATGTTTTTCTATTAATCTACTACTGCGGAAATTAAACAAGTAACAACTAATTTATCAAGAATGCAAATGTGCATGATGAGATTTTAATTCAGAGGACATGAAGATTCCAGGGTTGTGGTTGGTTTATCAATCCTATTAAGTTCAATAATCACACTCATTAATCCAGATTATCTAGGGTTACAAATTTACCAGATCGTTTATATGAATAGTATGTTCCCACAATACTATTTGTCTATCCACAATATATCAATCTTATATTCCTATGGTATTGAGTCTATCATCAACGAATCTAATACGGTATTCAACTAAGCAAGACTATTAGGTATATTCCTATCCTAACCGCGAAACCTTTCCCCGAGCCACGGGTTAAAAAACAAGCTCTCTTTTATTCCGCTCTAATCTAAACACAGCTTTCCCAATCATAGCATAGATAGTATGGTGAATTGGTAGCTACAACAATTCACAAGTTAAAACTAGAATTAAAGAAACAATCACAAGATGATAATCCGAATTAACATAGATGTAATTAATAAACGTCTTTAATCATGTCAACCACAACCCTAGAAACTAGAGTGCTTAGCCACTCATGTTCGTAGCAACAATTTTCTAAGTATTTTGCATAATTACAAAGAAAAGATGAAGGAATGAAGAACTCGATGATTTTCTCCTCCAAAGAATGCTCCAAACGTCTTCTCCCTTCCAAAATAGTCTCCCTAGGTCTAAAGTGTGTTCCAAGTCAGAAAATAATATTTTTTTCCATGTATTTATGCCAAGTACGGTTGGGCCTAGACGAAATCTCCTTTCCCAGCCGAAATAGGAAAACTTGCAAACTTAGTGCTTTTCATGCGTCGCACTGTGCGTCACCCAATGCGTCGCACTAGTGCTTTTTCCTGTCGGACCAAAAAAAAACCAGTCTCTAAACTTTAGAAATTTCTGACAAAAATTTGCACTAATGCGTCACACTGTGCCTCGCACAAGTGCATTTCTTCAGCAATTGCTTCTTCCTTGAATTTTGACGTCCAGAATTGATCCTCGACCCCCGAACGCGATCCCGGCTTAATCCTTTGGGCTTTTACTCAGACTACAAAGCTCCAAATAACTCAAATTCATTCCATAATATCTACATAGCTCGGAATCACTCCTACAAGGCATAAAACACGTAATTAGTGCAAAACACTAGCGAGTGAAGCTCAGACTCAATTTAAGTGTAGTAAATTAGAGTGTGATAAGCGACTAAAATACGTAATTATAGTCTACCATCAACACCCCACACGTAAACTATTTCTCGTCTTCGAGCAATCAAACTTCACTTTACAACAACACGACCTTTTTAAACAATTCTCCTAACTCATCACACCAAGAATATTTAAAATAGACTAAGCACAAGAGTATAACATCTTCACCTCAAGATTTGACTTACAAGCAGCATGCATTATTCACAACTCACTCACTTACTTTAACATATAGGTCAATGACATTACCTTTCCTTCATGAATCAAGTGCCCTAACACAACAAACGAGAGTAGTTCCACACACAATAAAATTTAAGAACAATTAGGAACTCAAGATAGAAAGAACTCACTCACTCTCAGAAATAACATTCATATGCCACAAAAGATGCACCATAGGCTTGCCCGTAGTGTACTACTCTACTAATTGAGCTCATTCAGTCTAGGATCAAGTAGGACTTTAATTGGTTGAAATGTAGGCTGCGGGACGAGTATGATACATTTGGATATAAGAGTGACTAAACCTCCCTAAGCACTTTAATACATACACTTTAATATTTAAAATCCCACACTTATGTCAAACCATAACTCCACCTTCACATCAATATATATTAACTCCCTACTTCTTTAAGCACAACTACATCAAGAGTCACCACTATCAAGGAATATTTTTCACAACAACACAACTATTTTTTTTCTTCTTTTTTTTTTCAAGTCAAGTGGCTCTTACTTTTTAAAACAGGGCACCTTACTCCTTATTTCATTAGTTCCACTCAAAAGCCAAACCAACCAGCCCACGCTTTAACTTTTATAAAGTTCATTACAATTCAAGTGCCCATGAGAGGTGAAAAGGTTCAAATAGATGGTCAATTCAAAAAATTGGGTAAGGCTTGCAATGTGATTGCCGAAGAAACAGGATTACATGCTCAAAGGGGTTAACCACGATACATAACAATTAGGCGGGTAAAATATATAACTGGCTTAATAAAGAAACGCCTACATCACTTCCAAGACTGAAGAAAACTACTATTTCGCTTTGCAAACACACGGGGCAAGTTCTAGTCATCAAATGCAATGCACAGAATACACAAAAACCTCTCACACACATGTCACATAACTCACTCAGTATTGGACTCATCAAGACACTCAAGTTAAAGTAGTTAAGAAAAGTTAAGATCATACAATTTAAGGTACTTATACAAGAGTCAAAAACTGAGCCTAAGCGTCATAACCAAAGTACTCACTATTCTCAATTCATAACAAAGTCAAGAGATATTGCTCCAATTCAATTCATAGCACAATGTCTCCTACTCCTAAAAAAAATAAAACTAACTACACCCGGTTCAAACAAAACCCTTGGAAATGAAACGCGGCACAAAGAAAAACCAAGGGGAGATTACTACACTACCTACAAAAAAAAATCTTTTTGTCCTTTTTTTTAGACTTAAATTCCTCAAGAAAACTGTCTAGGATATCCATCATCGAGAAGTCCTATTTTTCTACTTTTTTTTCGATTTTTGTTAGGAGCTACTAAAATACTACACAACTACGAAAACAAAAATAAGAAGTTAACATTTTTCAAACACACTACTACTAATTATATAGAGAAATTCTCCCACCCCACACTTAAAAGAGTGTAGTGTCCCCAATGGACAAATAAAACAAAACAATAACGAGGTTGGACAAGAAACTCCCTGAAAGGCCAAAGGCCGAAGCAATAACGACTCATGGGTACTCAGACTTCTCCCAGGTATGGTCCTTTGTGTGGGTACCCCACACTTAGTTCTCACCATCTAGATCGCTTTTGCACTCTTTCAATGGCTTTGCTTCCTATGCTTATAATCCTACAAAATAAAAACAGACACTACAAAAATAATACAATAAGAAGAAAAATCAAAACTGAAAGAAAGCAGTAAAGCTGGGTTGCCTCCCAACAAGCGCCTGATTTAATGCCGCGACATGACACAGAATCTCGTCTAATCATTGACAAGTAACACCTTCGACTTGTGACAATCAAAGTCACCTCCATAATAGTGTTTTACTCTTTTTCCGTTCACTAAGAACGTTCTCTCGCCTCCTAAGATACGCAAGTCAATTGCACCATGTGGAGTGACTCTCACTACCTCAAACGGGCCCGACCATCTCGATTTGAGCTTCCCCGGAAAGAGTCTCAACCTCGAATTGAACAAGAGAACCAATTGGCCCAGTTCGAACTCGCGATGATGGATATGCTTATCATGCCAGCGCTTGGTCTTTTCTTTATATAACTTGGCATTCTCATACGCGTGCAAGCAAAACTCATCAAGCTCGTTCAATTGCATCAACCGCTTTCTACCCGCTAAATATGAATCAAAGTCCAGCTTTATCGCCCAATATGCCTTGTTCTCAAGTTCCACCGGTAAATGGCATGCCTTCCCATAAACAAGCTTGTAAGGGGAGGTTCCGATTGGAGTTTTGTCGGTGGTCCGGTATGCCCATAGAGCATCATCAAGCTTTGCAGCCCAATCTTTCCTACTTGCATTGAATCTGCTTTATCTCTCCATTTGACACTTCAACTTGTCCACTAGTCTGAGGATGGTAAGCGGTTGCAACCTTATGTTTGACCCGTATTTCGCTAAGACATTGTTCAATAGCTTGTTACAAAAATGGGTGCCCCCATCATTTATCATCACCCTCGGAGTGCAGAACTGTTTAAATATATGCTTTTTCACAAAGTTGACCACAACCTTGGCATCATTGGTGGGAAGAGCAATGGCCTCCACCCACTTCGACAGATAGTCCACGGCTACCAAAATGTACTTACACCCCCTAGATGAGGGAAACGGACCCATAAAATCAATTCCCAACACATCAAAAATTTCAACCTCCATAATACCATGCAATGGCATCTCATGCCTTTTCATAATTGTTCCCGTTCTCTTGCACCTATCACACCTCCTCACGAACTCATGGGCATCTTTAAACACCCTAGGCTAATAGAAACCCGATTGTAACACCTTGGCTGCCGTTTTGTCACTCGCATGATGACCACCATAAGGCGACGGATGACAGTCATGTAATGTAGCATTTATTTCAGATTCTGGTACACATCTTCTCATTAACTGATCAATACAAGGTTTGAACAGAAACGGCTCGTCCCACACATATGATCTCACATCTCGCAAGAACTTGTTTTTAGCATGAGGTTCCAGATCAGGCGGCATTTCCCCACTTGCTACATAGTTCACAAAATATGCATAAATAGCACCTCCCCAGCAGTAACAACCAACAATTGCTCATCCGGGAAGGTTTCCTTGATGACATCTCCCTCAGCTACATGATTCCGAGTTTCTAACCTAGACAAGTGATCATCCACTTGATTCTCTGTTCCTTTACGATCTCGGATCTCCAAGTCAAATTCATGCAAGAGTAAAACCCAACGGATTAGCCTTGGTTTAGCATCTTTCTTTTCAAACAAATACCTAATGGCTGCATGGTCTATGTAGACGATGACTTTGGTGCCAACCAAATAGGCCCGAAATTTATCGAACGCCCACACTACAACAAACAACTCCTTTTCTGTCACTGTATAATTTATTTGAGCAGGAGTGAGAGTCTTGTTTGCATAGTAAATGGAGTGAAATATTTTGCTCCTCCTCTGGCCCAATACGGCCCCAATTGCACCAATATTAGCGTCACACATTAGCTCAAATGGCTCTTTCCAGTTAGGAGCCACTATGATTGGTGCACTCACTAACTTCTTTTTCAGCTCCTCGAATGCTTTAAGACAAGAATCGTCAAACTTGAACGGCACATCCTTCTCTAACAACCTGCACAACGGAGAGGAAATTTTTTAGAAATCCTTTATAAATCAGCGATAAAAACCTGCATGTCCCAGAAAACTCCTAACTCCTTTCACTGAAACTGGTGGTGGCAACTTTTCAATTGCTTCCACCTTAGCCTTGTCAACTTCCAGTCCGTCTTTGGACACCTTGTTCCCCAGAACTATACCTTCACGTACCATAAAATGGCACTTTTCCCAGTTTAGTACCAGATTAGTCGCCTTACACCTAGCAAGCACTTTAACAAGATTGGTTAAGCATTCATCAAAAGAAGGACCAAACACAGAAAAATCATTTTTTAAATAGCCAACATAAACCTTTGAAAGGTCGCAGGTGCACTACACAACCCGAATGGCATTCTTTTAAATGCATAAGTTCCATAAGGGCATGTAAAATTGGTCTTTTCTTGATCTTCCGGGGCAATAACAATCTGATTATACCCCGAATAGCCGTCAAGGAAACGCTAGTATTCTCGGCTAACCTGTCAAGCATTTGATCAATGAAGGGGAGAGAGAAGTGATCTTTTCATGTAGCATTATTCAGCTTCCTATAATCTATGCATATTCGCCAACCAGTCACAGTCCCAGTTGGGATTAATTCATTTTGTTCATTCACTACAACAGTCATACCCCCTTTTTAGGTACACATTGAACAGGGCTTACCCACTTACTATCGGAGATAGGAAATACTATACCTGCATCGAGCCACTTAATCACTTCTTTTCTTACCACCTCTTTCATGATTGGATTTAGGCGGCGTTGATGTTCCACACTAGGTTTGTGTCCTTCCTCCATGAGTATTTTGTGCATGCAGAATGCAGGGCTAATACACTTTATGTCAGACATTGTCCAACCAACTGCATGCTTGTGCTCTCTCAGCACTCTTAAGAGCTTTTCTTCCTGCAATTTAGACAAACGAGAAGAAATAATCACATGTAAAGTGTTAGAACTTCCCAAATATGCATAATGTAGATGAGATGGTAAGGGATTAATGTGACGACCCAAAGGGGTCATCACCTGTATTCCTACTCCCTCTGTACTTTTGAGGCCCTGGAAACCTCACTTGGGGGTTGCGTCGACTTGTGTGCACAGTCCGGGCACGTAACCGGAAAGTTTACATGTGAATTTGTGAGAAAAATAATAAAATTTGATGTTTTAAATTGATCGAGTTTGACTTTGGTCAACATTTTGGACAAACGGACCCGGCCTCGTGGTTCGACAGTCCCGGAGGGTCCGTAGGAAACTTTGGGACTTGGGTGTGTGCCCGGAATCAAATTCCGAGGTTCCAAGTCCGAGAAATGAATTATTGTGTGAAATTGTTTTCTGAAAATAATTAAAGAATTTGAAAGTGTTATTTGTTTAGAAGACTGTGCTGTTGGGCTCGTATTTTGGTTCCGACGCCCGGCACAAGCCTTAAATATGAGTTAAGCAAGTGTTGTGAAGTTTGGTTAGATTTGGACGTCATTTGACGTGTTTTGAGCTAGCAACAGTAAAATTTGATGTTTCATGGAAATTGGAAGGAAATCATGGGTCTTGAGGCCTAATTCGATGTTGTTTTGGCGATTTGATCGCACGGACGAGTCCGTAGGATGTTTTTGGAGTTGTGTGTATGTTGGGTTTGGAGCCCCGAGGGCTCGGGTGAGTTTTGAGTGGGTCCCGGGAGGGTTTTAGACTTAAAAGCATCAGAAATTGCAGGTCCAGGGTTGCAGGACCCCAGCGCGGCCGCGATCATTTCTGCGTGGTCCGCGCTGGAAACTGTGCGGCCGTAGTGCTTTTCTGCGCGGTCCGCGTGGCTAGGTTCAGAGGGCCAGTGAACTCTAGGTCAACCAGCACGGCCGCGCACCAAATCAGTGTGGTCCGCGCTGGATAGGTTCAGAGAGTCATTTTCCCTCCCTTCCTCGGCGCGGCCGCGGGGCATTTTTGCGCGGTCCGCGCCAGTCCTTCAGCAAAGTATATAAATCTGAGATTTTCAGTCATTTTGCACTTTTTTTCAAAACCCAAAACATAAGAGGCGATTTTCCAAACGATTCTTCTCCTTCAAAACGATTGGTAAGTGATTTCTTACTTATTTTTCCTTGCTTCTAAACATCTTTAAACATGATTTCAACTTCAAAACAAAGATTTTAATGGGGGAATTTGGGAATTTAGGGTAGAACTAGGGTTTCAAAATTTGGGGGTTTTGGACCTCAATTTGAGGTCCGATTCCAAAATAACTTATATATCTGAGTTCATGGGAGAATGGGTAGTCGGGTTTTGGTTCGAACCTCGGGTTTTGACCACGTGGGCCCGGGGGCATTTTGGGGATTTTTTGAAAAAGCTTTGGGAAATTCACTTTTCATGCATTCAAATTTAATAGATTAGCCTTTGTTGATACACTCAAGTATTTGTGACTAGATTCGAGCGGTTTGGGTAAAGCGATACTAGAGGCTTTAGTTGAGTTGGAGCATCCGAGGTAAGTGTTTGATCTAACCTTGGTTTGAGGGAATAGGATTAGAGTATTATTTGCTAATTGCTAAATGTTGAGTACAGTGTATAGGCATGGTGACGAGTATCTATACACCGGTGTCTAGCATGACCGTGAGTCCTTGCTTGTGCTTATTCGGGATTCTGTAGTGACTCCTTCTTGTTTAATTGATGGACTCGATATAATGTGAACAATATGAAGAGGAAAAATATGAATTGTAAACTCCTTGGAGTGTTGGCTCGAAATACGACACGATTAAGACTTAAGAAATGAACGAAAGAAGAAGAGTTGTAATTACTCCCTTGCCGGGACGTGTAAGTTAATGTTGTTGCTCCCTTGTCGGAAGTTAATGGTTTAATTGTATTCTCCCTTGGCGGGATGGTTGAATTGATGCTTGTTCCCTTGCCGGGAAATCCTTATATATTATGAAATGGGATCGTGTGGCACGCCGACCACTTATATATTATGAAATGGGATCGTGTGGCACGGCGACCACTTATATATTATTAAATGGGATCATGTGGCACGCCGACCACTTATATATTATGAAATGGGATCGTGTGGCACGCCGACCACTTATATATTATGAACTGGGATCGTGTGGCACGCCGACCACTTATACATTATGAACTGGGATCATGTGGCATGCCGACCACCTAGATATATATATATTATAAAATGGGATCGTGTGGCACGCCTACCACTTATATAGATTATGAGATCGGATGTGGTTTCGTGTTTACTTCTGATAAATTGTGTTCATCTGTACTTCCCCTAAGCATGTCCCCCCCTGCCTTAGCTGGTATTTTGTGTTGCTATTTTATTGTACTTGTTTATACATATATACCTGCACAGGTTGTTTTTGGTAGGTCCTGTCTAGCCTCGTCACTACTTCGCCGGGGTTAGGCCAGGCACTTACCAGCACATGGGGTCGGTTGTGCTGATGCTACACTCTGTGCATTTTTGCACAGGTCCAGGTATTGAGCAGCAGCAGCAGCATTAGCACGGGGGCGAACCTTCAGTCCAGAGAGACCCGAGGTAGCTTGCAGGCGTCCGCAGGCCCGGCGTCTCCCGTCTATCTTTACATTTGGCTGTCATCTCATTGTACCCGAGATAAACAGATTATGTTTCTTTCATACTTTGTATGTAGTACTCCTTAGATGTTCGTGAGTATGTGACTCCAGTCCCGGGGTAGAGATATATGTGTTGGAACTTCTGTATTATTGATCATCTATCTACATTTAAGTCTTCCGCTTATGATTTTAATTCCGTCGCCTTTATTTAATGCTGTTAATTGTTAAAAAGGAATAGGTGTTTAATGAAAATGCTAATTAAGTTGGCTTGCCTAGCTCTCATTAGTAGGCGCCATCACGACTCCCGAGGGTGGGAAATCCGGGTCGTGACAATTAAGTTCCAGTTTTGGGGCTTCCTCAACTGAGGATTTTGAGG